CCCCCCCCCCCGCGCGCGCGCGCTAGGCCGGCTCCTGCATGGAGTTGAGCTCGGTGGCCGAGCGCGTGTCGGCCGGGCGCTTCTTCTTGGCGCTGATCGAGGCCCTGCTGCTGGGCCGGCCGGAGGCCGAGGCGGCCGCCGGCGGGCTGGCCGGCGGGCTGGCCGGGTTCTTCGGCCAGCCGGACCCGGCGGCCGCCGGGCCGGGGGTCCCTTCGGCCGAGCCGGGGCCCGGCGACGCGGCGGACCTGCTGGCGGCCGGGCAGCCGCCGGGCTTCAGCAACCCGGCCTACTTGACCTTCTTCCTGCCGGTGGTGTGGACCGTGGTGCAGTCGGTGTGCGCGGCGGCCGGGCTCTTTCTCGGGCCGTGGCCGGACGCGCGGCGGCTGCTGGTCCAGCCGCTGGCCGGGCCGGCGTCGGTGTACGGGGTCCCGCGGCCCGGGGCCGGCGGCCCGGCGGCCGGGCTCTGGCAACTGGACTGCGCGTCGGGGCTGGACGATTTGCTGGCTCGGCTGGCCTTTGCCGAGGGGTTCTTCGACTTTGCCCGGCGGGTGTGTGCCCTGTCGGTGTCGGGCCGGCTGGCCCCCGGGGACACCGGGGCGGCCCTCGGGCAGCTGGCCTGCACCGTGGCGGCCTGGCTGTGCGAGGATGGCCGGTGGCGGGTGGCGCTGGCCGGGGCCCGGCCCGCCGACCGGCCGGTGCTGCACCGCCAGCGTCTGGCCGCCCGGCGAGCCGCCACCCGGCTGCTGGAATGGCTGCTGGCCGCCGAGCGGGCCGGGCGCCTGGTCCTGCCCCGGGCGTCCGGGGTGGAGTTCGCCCTGGCGACCCTGTGCGCCGGGCTGAGCGCCGGCCTGGAGCCGGCCGGCGGCCCGGAGCCCGAGCCCGAGGACCAGGATGTCGGCTGGGTCGGGCGGCTGGGCCTGCGCCGGGGGGCCGGCGGCCGGGACCCGACGGCCGATGCGCTGGCCGCCTTCCTGGCCGTCGGGCGCTTTGCCGGCCGGTATGTCCATGCGGCCGGCGAGGCGCCCTCCATCTTCCTGCTGTCGGCCTTCGTGCGGGCCGGCGTGGCGCTGGCCGGCGCCCCGGAGCCGGGTGGCGTTGGGTCGCCCGGGCCGGCGTGCCCGGCGGCCGGGTCGCCGGCGCCGGCGCCCGCGCCCCCGCCCGCCCCCGCGGCCGGGCTCTTCCCCATGCTGGCGGCCCTGTCCGAGGCCTTTGTCCGGTACTTTGACCGGTGCACCTGCCCGGGGCCGGGGTCGGGGCCGGCCGCCGGCGACCCGGCCCCCGGCAAGCGGCCCTGGCTGCCCCCCGGCCACGGGTCGCCAGGTCGCAAGCGGCCCCGCGCCTCGGGCCCGGCTGCCCATCCGATGGTGGTGGACATGCTGGGGGCCGGCGCGGTGGACGACGGCCCGGCCAGCACGCCGACCCCCTCGCAGGACGCCTGGCACCAGGCGGCCGCACCGGCAGCCGGTGCGGCCGCGGCGCCCTCCCCCTCGACGGTGGCCACGACGACCACGGCCGCGACGATGGCGGCCATGGCAGCGGGGCTGTCGTGCTCCCCGCTGGCGGGCGTGTCGGCCGCGGCCGGGCCGTTCGAGCCGCGGACGCCCTCGAGCCCGCTGCTGCGGCTGCTCGGCGGCCAGGCCCCGGGGGGGGCCGTGTCCGGGGCCAGCCCGGGCCTCGCCACCCCGGGCGACCGGTCGCCCTCGCTGATGTCGGCCCTGAGCGGCTTCTCCTGGACCATTGCCATTCTCAATCAGCTGGACGCCGGGGGGTTCGCGTGGCCGGGCGACCCGGCGCCCGGGGTGTCGCCGGTCCACTTTGCCGGGGGCATCTTCGCGTCATGCCACTCGGCGGTGGAGGGGTGCCCGGGCGGCCGGCGGCCGGGGCGCCGGCTGGCCGACGCGTCCATGCGGAACATCGGCCCGGCGGCGTTGGGGCTGTGGCTGGCGCTGCTGCGGCGCCTGGCCGGCCGGCCGGCCGGCCCCCCCCCGGGCAGCGAGGCCTCCATGACCCCGGGGTCGCCCGGGCCGAGCCGGGCCGGGCCGGACCGGGCCGGGCGCGAGCTGGCTCTGGCCCTGTGGGCGGCCGGCCTGGCCGGCCTGGCCTGGGGCCGGGTCGATGGCTCCGGCGATCCCGGGCCCTGCCCCTGCGGGGGGTATGCCCTGCTGTGGCGCCCGGGCGCCGCCATGGACACGGTGCTCGGCCTGCGGGTGCCGGCATCGGTCGAGGTGGCGGCCCTGGTCCGGGAGCTGGGCCCCGGGGCCGGGGCGCCGGTTGTCGTGGTCCCGGCCGGGGCGCCGGGGCCGGTGCCCTGCCTGGAGTTCCGGCTGCTGGGGCTGGGTGCGGCCTGTGGGGAGATCCGCGCGCTGGCCGCCGGCCCCGGGGCCTCGCGGGCCAGCCTGCTGCTGGAGCCGATCGATGCCTGGTCGTCGTCGGCGGCCGGGCCGCTGGCCGGGCCGCTGGCCCGGGCCTTTGTCGAGCTTCTGGCGGCCTTGGGGGACGCGCGGCCGGCTGCCTCGGACGGCCTGCTGGCCGCGGTATCCGACAGTGTGGCCGGCTTCCTGGGGGCAGCCGTGCGCGAAGCGCGCGCGGCCCTGGACTCGCCTGGGCCCGGGGCCCGGGCCCGGGCCCTGCTTCGCCAGGTGGGCAGCCTGCTCCGGGCGGTGGTGGCCCTGGCCCGGGGGGCCGCGGCGGCTCCGCCCCGGGCCGGGGTGTCCCTCTGTCGGGTGGCCACCCTGGCCGTGGATGCGGCCCTGCTGGGGGGCCAGCTGTGTGGGGCCTGCGCGGATGGGGTTCTGGAGGGCGCGGCCCCGGTGGCCGTCGGCATGGCCGAGGTCGAGCCCCTGGCCGCGGCCACCGCCGAGCTGCTGTTCCTGTCCCGGCGGCTGGTGGCGCTGGCGCACGCGCTGGCCGACGCCCCGGTGCCCCTGGCCCCGAGGTGCATGCTGACCGGGCCGCCAGCCGGGCAGCGGTGCTTCCTGGATGCCGCGAGCCTGGCCGGGACGCTGGCCCGGGTGCTGGCCGCCGGCCGCGGGCCGCCCTCGGTCGGGGCCATCTGCGCGCTGGCCGCCGGCCGGGCCTCCGGCGACCCGGATTGCCCCGGGTGCGGGGGGTTCCTCGGCCGGTCGTCCGCCGGCGGCCGGTGCCCTGTCGGGGCCGGCCCCGGCCGGCCGGACCCCCCGGCCGGGGTCGTCCTGCTGCCCGTGCTGGACCGGCTGATGGGGGACCTGCGCGAGCTGGCCGACCGGCTGGCCTCGGCCTCGTCAGCCTCCTCGGCCTCCTCGGCCCCCGCATGCCCCTCGCCTTCTTCCCCCGCCGCCGCCGCCGCCGCCGCCGCCGCCTCCTCCTCGGCCACCTCGGCCACCTCCTCGCCGGCATGGGGCCCGGGGCAGGCCGGGCCCGGCGGCCGGCCACTGGCCGACGTCGCCCGGGCCAAGGCCACCCTGCGGGCCCTGGCGGCGGTGCTCCGCCATGGGGGCTGCCCGCCGGGGCATGTGCGCCCGGTGCTGGCGGTGCTCAAGCGCCTGGTGCGGCCGCGGTCCGGGCACCTGCTGCCGGCGCAGGCCCCGGCCCCGGCCGCCGGGGCCGCCATGCATGCCCTGGTGGCCGACCTGACCGGGGTGGCCGAGCTGGCCCGGCGGGCGGTGGCCGAGCTGCCTGCCTGGCTGGTGCCGGGGCCCGGGGCGCGCCCCGGGCGAACGGCCGCCCTGCAACTGGCGCGCAGCCTCTGCCAGTCGCTGGACCCGGGCCACTGCCTGGCCGGGGTCCGGCTGGTGGAGGTGCTGCTGCCGGGGGCCGCCCGGGCGGGGGGGCTGCTGCCGGCCGGCGGGACCCGGCCCGGGGCCGGGCACGGGCTCCCGCCGCCGGACCCGGACGCCGGGCCCTTCCTCGTGTCGCTGGTGTGCATCCTGGCCCGGGTGCTGGCCAGCCCGGTGGCGGCCCTGGCCGGCGGCGGGCCCGGGGCGCCCGGCAGCCCGGCGGTCCCCGGGGCCCGGGGCCAGCTGCAGCTGTCCCCGCGCGAGGAGGCGCACCTGGTCCTGCGAAGCCTGACCACGCACGGGCTGAACCCGCCGGCGAGGGCCGCCGCCCGGGGCCGGCGCTTTGCCTTCCGGAATGGGCCCGGGGCCGGGGCCGATGACGGCCCGGCCGGGGCCCGGTCGGCCGCCTCGCTGGACGCCTTCCTCGGGGGGCTGGTGGACCTGCACCCGGAGCACTGGGCCGCGGAGCTGCTGGCCGAGCCGCTGCTGGCCGGGCCGCTGCCCGGGGCCGGGCCCGGGGCCCTGTGCCGGACGACCGCCCGGCTGCTTGGCATGCCGGTGCCGGCGCTGCTGGAGCGCCTGGCCCCGTGGCTGGTGCCGCGGCTGGTGCTCTTCGGCGAGGGGCCGGAGTCGCCTCGGGCCGCGGTGTCGGCACCGGCCTCGGGCCCGGCCACCGGGCCCGGGTCCTGGCAGGCGCACCTGCTGCCGGGCCACGCCTGGCCGGACCCGGCGCTGGCCCCGCACCCGGGGAACACCCTGCTGGCCTTTGTCCGGCTGACCGGGCGCCGGGCGGACGCCGTGTCCCAGCTGCTGGACCAGATCGACCACCTGCTGCTGTGCTCGGTGTATGTGTCGGCGCTGCCGGGGCTGGCGGCGGCGGCGGCGGCGGCGGGGCCGGGGCCGGGGCCGGGGCCGGCAGTGTCCGGGCCGGCCGACCCGCCGGACGCCCTGGTCTTTGACCCGTCCAGCCCGGTGGGCGTGGCGCTGTATGGCGGCGGGGCCGGGGCCGGCGGGGACGCCGGCGGCCCGGACGGCCGCGCGGCCCTGCGCTTGGACATGGCCCAGGTGGACGCGGTGGCGGCGCGCGCCGCGCGCGACTCCATCAGCTCCATCTTCCGGATGCTTCTGGGCGCGCCGGCGGTCGGGCCGGGCCCGGCCCCGGCCCCGGCCCCGGATGACCCCTCGGCGCCGGCCCTGGTGTGCGACCGCCGGGCCCTGTGGGTGCTGCGCACGTGCGCCCACCGGGTCCTGCTGACGGGGCTGCTGCATCTGGGCCGGGCGGAGGCCCGGCTGGCCGAGTGCCCCGGGCCCGAGGCCGACCCGCTGGGGGTCCGGCCGCAGGCGGTGCTGGAGCAGCGCCTGGCGCTGGGGCTCCTCCGGGAGGTGGCCCGGTCGCTGCTGCCGCCGGGGGAGGAGCCCCGGCATGCGGCCGCGCGGCCGGGCCCCGGGGCCGCTGGCCAGGGGCTGGCCCTGATCCGGACCCTCCTCCGGCCCTTCATGTTCCAGACCCTGCACAACATCAAGCACCTGGTCCTGGTGGAGGGGGCCGATGCCGGGCCGGCGGGGGATGCCGGCAGCACGGCCCCGCCGCCGCCGCCGGCCACCAGCCTGGCCTGGCACCCGGCGCGCTTGGCCCTGGACGCCGGCCAGCGGGCGGCCTTCTTCGCCCTGGGCTGGGTCTTTGCCGTGTGCCGTGGCGAGGGGGATGGCGGTGGTGGCGGCGGCGACACCGACAAAGACCGCGACTCGGTGGAGCTGACCCCCAGCGTGGCGGCGCACAGCCTGACGGCCCTGCGCTTTGGCCTGGCCGGGGCCGGGGCCGATGTGGCCCTGCGCGGGGCGGCCCTCTTTGCCGCGCGGGCCCTGGCCCGGTGGTGTCGAGCCGAGCTGGATGCCCGGGCGGCCGGGGCCGGCGGCCTGGGCCCGGCGGCGTCCGGCGGCCCGGCCGCCGGGGCCGGCGCGCTGGACCTGGCCCCCGGGCCGCTGCTGAGCTGGCTGCTGATGCTGGCGGCGTCGGCGTCGGCGGCGGCGGCGGCGTCGGCGAGCGTGGCCGACATGGCCGGCCCCCGGCCCCCGGGGCCGCACAGCCCCGGGCCAGCGTGCGCACGCTGGCCCTGCCTCGGCTGCCATCGGGCCCGGCGCCTGGACGCCCTGGCCGGGGACATGGCCCGGGCGGCCCTCCTGCGGCCGGATGGCCGGACCCTGGACGCGCACATGCTGCCGCTGGTGGTGGCCGTGCCGGGGGCCGCCAGCTGCCGGGGCTTTCGCCTGGCGCTGGGCCTGTGGGAGGCCGGGCTGCGTGCCCCGTGCATCCGGTGCCTGGAGGCCGTGGCTCGGGCCGGGGGGCGGGCCGGCGCGCTGGCGCACCCGGAGGCCGGCCGCCTGGCGGCCCTGTGGGCCGACGCCGAGCTCCTGACCCCGGCCGAGGCCGAGGACCTGGCCGGGCTCCTGGCGCCCGGCGGGGCTGCCGGCCACCCGGTGGGCGAGCTCCTGCAGCGGGCGCCGCCGGCGGCCGAGCAGCCCTCCCCGGCCGGGGCCGAGGCGCCCCCTGGCGATGGTGCGGCCGGCGCGGCGCCGGCGGCTTGCTGGCGGTGCGACCATGCGGCCGGGCCGGGGTCGGGCCCGGGGCCGGTGGCGCTCGAGCCGCACCGGCTCCTGGCGCGGCTTTTCCCCCTGGCACGGGTGGTGGACCTGCTCCGGGGGTGTGCCCTCGGCTTGCGGTCCGGCGATCCGGTGCTGATGGCCGCGTGCGGGGACCGGCTCCGGCGCCTGGCGGCCGGGGCCTGGTCCACCCTGTCGCCGGTGGCCCTGGCGGGCTGCGGCCCGGCGGCCGGCGCGGCCGACGACCGGCCCGGGTCGGCCTTCGCCCAGGCCCGCGGCCAGCTGGCCGACCTGCCGCCGGCCGACCCGCGGCTCGGGGCCGCCGCGCATGACGCCTGCCTGGCCCTGGCGGCGTGGCTGATGTCCGGGGCGCCGGCGGCCGGGCCGGCCCCGGGGCAGCACCGGCTGCGCGCGTGCCTGGCCGTCCTCGGGTCCCTGGCCGGGGGGGACCCGGCGGGGGGCGGCCCGACGCCGGGCCCACTGGCCCCGATGGCCAGCCTGCCCACGCGGCAGGGCTTCCACCTGGGCCTGGCGGCCTTGGACTTCGGGCCCTCGCTGGGGCTGTCCCTGGGCGAGGCCCTGGGCCAGCCGCTGGCCGGGAGTGCCGCCGGGGCCGCCGGGGCCGGGACCTCCAGCACCGGCCAGATGACCAGCCGGAGCATGATGCTCGGCCTGGCCGACCGGCTGGAGCTGGCCTGGCGCCTGGTCAATGGGCCGCTGCTGCGGCTGCTGCTGGTGGGCAGCCTCGGGGGCGGGGCCCCCGGGGCGCCGGGCGCCCCCGGCGGCCTGGTGGCCGACCTGGCGGACTCGTGCTTCGACGTGGCGGCCGGCGGCCGGGGGCCCGGCATGCCGGCCGGCACCCCGCGCGAGGGCCTCGCCTCGGCGCAGGTGGTCGACGTGGCGTCGCTCCTCATCCAGCAGCTCCTGCAGAAGACGTGCGGTCTGACGGCCAGCCTGGCGGCCCAGGTGCCGGAGGACGCCCCGGCGCGGGCATTCAACATGCACTCGGCGGCGGTGGCCGCGCTGGCCGCGCCGCCGGGGCCCGGCAGCTCCGGCGTGCCGGACAGCCTGGCCGTCGCCCTGTGGCGGCGCTTCCCGCCGGCCACGCGCCGGCAGCTGGCGCACTTCCTGGAGACCGAGCTGCGGCTGTCGCCGGCCGGGGGGGCCGGGCCCGGGGGCTCGGCCGGGCAGCAGCCGACGCAGCCGACGCAGCCGACGCAGCCGCCGGCCCCGGGGGAGGGGGCCGGGGCATCGGCCGATTCGCCCGGCGCCCCGGGCCCGGGCTGGCCGCCCCGGCACCGGTCCATCATCGACGCGCTGCAGGCCCACCTGTCGCCGGGGGATGTCGGCCGGTCGCTCTTCAGCGAGCTGGTGGCCCTGGCCCTGGGCCCGGGCCCTGCCGCCGGGTTGGGCCCCGGGCCCGGGGCGGATGGCGATGCCGGGGACCGGCCGGCCGGCCGCCCGGCCGGCCGCCCGGCCATCAATGCCCCGCGGCTGGTGGGCGACTGGCTGCGTGGGCTGGCCCTGCGCCTGGGGCGCCTGGCGGCCGGGCTGGACTCGGCGCGGGTGGTGGCGCGCTTCGGGCCGGCGGCCGCCGACCCGGGCGACTCGGCCGCCATGCCCAATGGCCCGGCGCCGGTGTTTGCCTGCCTGGAGACCCTGCCCGGGGGGGAGGACGGCGCGGCCCTGGCCCGGGCCCTGCTCCCGCACCTGGTCATCTTCCTGGTGGCCAACTGCCGGTTCCCGACCAGCACCGGCGGCGAGGCCCACCACCACCACCACCACCAGCAGCAGCAGCAGCAGCAGCAGCCGCAGCAGCCGGGGGTCTTCCACTGGGTGCACCTGGACCCGGTGGCGGCGCTGGTGGCGCACGAGCTGGCCGCGCCGTTGGTCCTGGCGGCCGAGCTGGCCAGCGACCGGACCGCGCCGCGGGTGCTGGCCGCGGCCGCGCACCTGGCCGCCCTGGAGGCCACGCTGCTGGTGGAGGCGGTCCGGCGGTGGGCCGTGGCCCGGGCCCGGGTGGCCTCCGGCACGCGGGCCGACATGCAGCTGCACATGCGCCAGCTCCTGCTGTCGGCCGAGTGCTGGCCTCGGCTGCCCTTCGGCCCGGTGCCGCGCACCCCGGTGGACCTCTTCCTGATGGCCAATCCCCAGCCGCCGGCCGAGGTGGAAACCGCGGCCGGGCCGGCCGCCGCCCGGCCCTCGGCCGCCGGGCTCAAGCTGGAGGGCGTGCGCGGCCATGTGGCCGTGTGCCGGCTGCTGGCATTCACCGACCTGCAAGTGCCGCCGGCCCTGCAGGCGGCCGTCCTGTGGCAGGCCCTTCGCCAGGACGCCCCGGGGCCGGTGGCCCCGGCCCGGCCGCCGGTTGTCCACTGCCCGGAGGCCGTGGCCAATGAGCATGCGGCCGCCTTGCGGCCATTGCTGGGGCCCGGCGGGCCGGACCCGGCGGCTCCCGGGCCGGCCCGGCAGGCGGCCCTGTCGCCCGGGGCCCGGGCCCTCGGGGCGGCCGTGCTGGAGCGCCTGGCCGGCGATGCGCGCCGCGCGTTGGGCCCCCTGCGAGCCCTGGCCCCGGCGCTGCTGGCCCTGCACCAGGCCGGGGCCGAGCCCACCCCCGGCGCCCTGGCGGCCCTGGTCCCGGGCAATGCCCCGACCGTGGAGGACCAGCCGCCGGTGGGGTTCTTCCCCGGCAGCTTGCCCTTCTTCCTGGGCTGGAGCCCGGCCGTGTGCGAGTGCCTGGGGGCCGCGGCCGGCGTGGCCGCGGCCGATGGCCTGGACGCCAGCCCGGCCGACGACCCATGCGCCCTGGTGGCCGGGGTGGCGGCATGCCGGGTGCCGGCGCTCCTGGCCGCGGCCGACCTCTTCGCCGACATGGCGGCCGGCTCGGCGGCCGACGCCCCGGGGCCCGGCCCGGAGCCGGACCTCTCGGCCCTCGGGCCGCTGGAAGCCCAGACACTGGCCCTGGCCATGGGGGCGGCCGGGCCCGGCGGGGCGGCCGAGGGGCCCGCCGGCCACCGGGCCCCGGGCCCGGACTTGGACCTCCTTCGTGGCCAGCTCCGCGCGCTGGAGGCCTGGGCCCGGCGGGATGACATGCTGGCCGCCGAGGAGGCCGAGCTGGCAGGGCAGCTGGCCGGGTCCGGCGGCCTGGCGGCCGCGCACTTGCGCCTGGCCCTGGCAGCCGGCGACGCCACCGAGGTCCTGGCCGCGGCTGGGGCCCCTGCCGGCCCGGCGGCCGGGCTGGCTGCCCCCTCGCGGGCAGGGCCGCCCCTGCCGGGGGCCGATGTTCGGGCCCTGGCCGCCTCGGCGGCCCTGCGCCTGGGCCAGTGGGACATGGCGGCCGGGCTGGCATGCCACCCGGGCCCCGACAGCAGCCCGCCGGCCCCGGGCCCCGGGCCGCGCATGAACCCGGCGCTGGAGCGCCTGCTCCGGGTGCTGCCGGCCGGGCCCGGGGACTTGGCCGGGCTGGCGCGCCTGGACCAGCATCTGGCCCGGCCGCTGGTGGCCTGGCGCGATGGCGGGCCCCCGGCGCCGGACCCAGCCGGGGCCAGTGCCCTGGCGGTGGCGTGTCGCTTTGCCCGGGCCCCGGGCAGCATGGGCCCCGGGCTGGCGCCGGAGCTGGCCCGGCTGACGCTCTTCGCCGATGTGGACCTGCTGGCGGGCGGCCTGCCGGGGCTGGCGGCCCGGGCCGATGCGCCGGCCGCCGACCCGGGCCCCGGGCAGCGGGACACACGCGGCCCGGAGGCGGCCCGCCTGCGCCGGGCCCTGGTGACCGCCGAGCGGGACACCCAGCTGCTGGATGCCATGACGGCGCGGCTGCTGGGGCGCCCGGCGCCGGGCCACGCCGGGGCCTTCAGCCTGTCGGCGGCCCAGTGCCAGGGCGACTGCCAGGGCGGCACGGACTGGCCCTCGGCGCGCGGGTGCCAGTGCGCCCCCGGGCGGTCGGCCCTCACCGGCGGCGGGCTGTCGGTGGTGGCCGCCGCGCGGCTGGCCAACGGGGCCCCGCCCGGCGGCCGGGGGCCCGCCTCGGCCCGGCGCCTGGCCGACCGGGCCGACACCGCGGACCTGGTGCTCAGCCTGCAGGAGGCCATGCTGGGGCGGCTGGCGGCCGGGGCGGCCGGCCGCGCGGCCGACCTCCTCGGCGCCGGGTCGCCCGGGGCCCGGGGCGCCGGGGCTCTGGTCCGCGCGGCGGCCGCCGCCCGGCGCCAGCACCGGTCCAATGCCCTGTGGCGATGCCTGGCCCTGGTGGCCCGCGGCCAGGGGGTCCCGGCCCTGGCCCGGGCGGCCCTGCTCCGGGTGTCGCCCCTGCCGGGGCTCGCCGGGCCGGGGATGGCCGCCGCGCTGCAGGCCCTCCGGGCCCCGAGCCGCGCCGGGCCCGGGCTCCATGCCCTGGTGGCCGATTGGCCCGGGCGTCTGGAGGCCTTGCGCCTGGCCGACCGCCTGGCCACGGCCTTCTGCCTGGGCGAGCGGCCGGGCGATCTGGACCGGCTGCCGCTGCCCGCCGGGCCGGCCACCGACCCGGCCACCGGCCACGAGTACCCGGAGTATGTGCTGCTCCGCCGGAGCCTGGCCATCGCGTGGCTCGTGTCGGCCGGGGCCGGGGCCGGGGCCGAAACCCGGGCCGCCGTCGGCCGGCCCGGCCCCGAGTCCGACTCCTCGGCCTCCGTGGAGCATGCCTTCTCGCGAGCGCTGGACTTGTGCGTGTTCCTCGCCCTCCCCCCCCC